TTGACCAATAAGTCATCCCACTGGCTTACATTCCTTAGGCAGAACTAGATCTCCCTGTCTCCTGGTGATTGACCCAAAGTCACCCAGTTGGCTTTGGTGCCTAAGATGGGAAATTTTGGAATGGTGGGGCTTTTCTCAGAGTTGGAAATTACTTGGGAACATCCTTTGCCCACATGTTCCTTCTCCTCCTCCTCCTCCTCCTCCTCCTTCTCCTCCTCCTCCTCCTCCTCCATCATCATCATCATTTCTTCTTGCAGCTTTATGCCACTTTGAAAGAAGGCAACCCGCCCTGGGAGGTGACGGAAGCCGTCCTCTTCATCATGGCCTCAATTGCCAAGAGCGTTGACCAGTGAGTAGTGAGGAGGGGAGGACCCACGCCGGGGCCTGGGCGTTCGGGCCACGGGGTTTCACGCGTGAGTGTTGGTATGGGCCTCCTAGTGTAAGTTGGACCCAGCAATGTGCCTCCCACTCTCCCGGCCTCTCTTTCCTCCCTGACTCGAAAGGGCCTGGCTTTCTTTTAACAGTAACAGAGTTGGAAGGGACCTTGGAGGTCATCTAGTCCAATCCCTCACCCCGTTCGCGCAGGCGACCCTATTACTGTCTCAGACAAATGGCTGTCCAGTGACTTCTTAAAAGCCGCCTTTACTTGGGAGGAAGCTGCCAACTTGGCTCCCTTTTTCAAATATTTTTTTATTTATTTACTTACAAGTGTAACAACTTATTTTACTTATTTATTGTTCTACTTGTTTGCTTATTTGTTCCTGCCTTCATTATCTTTATAAATAACTCAAGGCAGCAGCGGCAAACGTATCCGACCCACCTTCCTCTTGTAAGTTGTTAACACAAGTCGAGGTACCCTGATGTCCAGACCCGAGTTTTACACTGTTTTTGGCGGGGTTCGTTAAGCGTGGCCATTAAGTGAATCCACGGTTGTAAGCGTGAAAGGGTGGAGGGGTTTTTGGGGTCAGAAATAGACAAGAGAGAGAGAGAGAGAGAGAGAGAGACTGAGACTGAGACTTTTGGCTTCATGCAAGGAAAGCAGCAGAAGCCGCAGAAGTCTTTCTTTCTCTCCCCCCAAACTCCGCCAGAAATGAGTCTTTGCAGCCTCTTGGAGCAGGAGGCCTTGCAGGGTCCCAAAGACTCATTTCTGGCGGAGTTTGGGGGAGAGAAAGAAAGACTTTGGCTGCTTTCCTTGTGTGCAGCCAAAAGCAGAAGAAGAAAGAAGCGAAAAAAAGCCGCCCGGTGGCCAGGCGAAGTATGTGGGGCGTGTGGGGCAAGTCCCCCCCCCTCTGCTCTTTCCCCCCTCCCCTCACTACCTTGTGTTGTTCACAATGCAAGCGACGCAAGCCTTGTGTTCCCGTGGGCCATGTGGGCGGCGCAGCCTTGTGTTCCCGTGCAGCCTGGATTAATCGCTTTGGGCGGGACGTTTCTCTATGGACCACCAACATTTTCTCGCAGAACCACCAAGTGGTCCCTGGCCCACTGGTTGGCGACCAGTGCCCTAAATTGTTGGAGACCCCAGGAACAAGCTGGGTGTCAACTCATAAAAACATTTTTAAGCTTGTTTGAGAGCTGCCATGAACAACTCCAGGAGAGAAATTTAAAAGAGCCGCGCAGCGGTTTGGAACCCAAAGTGCATTCCATTCATATCTTGCAAAGATTATAACTAAGCTCCTAGAATTTCCGCCCGGAAAAATCCCTAATTTGAAAACGTGATTGATGACTCTCAGCTATGAAGGTTGTTTCGGGTTGGAGAATATGATTGACGACACACCCAGAGGGGTTGGGGTGGGGGGAGACAAACAGGGTCATAGGGGAGAGTGAATCACATGTCTCAGAGTCGGCTTCAAGCGGGTCATGCCGACATGTTCGCTCCTAATAAATCCTTCGAAGTTTTTGAAGCTTGGATCGAGGCTCGTGATTTCATTGGGGCCACGGCCGGAATCCTGACACCGGGGGGGTGGGGGTGTCCCTGTGGTTCACGATGTGGTTTTTTGAGGGTTCAGAATGTATTTGCTTCCTCCGTGCCCCCTGCTGCAGAGAGAACAATCCCACCCTGGTGGAAGTGCTGGACGGAGTGGTGCGCCTTCCTGAAGCCGTTCACACGGCCGTGCGCTACACCAGCATCGAGCTGGTGGGGGAGATGAGCGAAGTGGTGGACAGGAACCCCCATTTCCTGGGTGAGTGGAAGGGCCAGGCGAGGGGGGTGGGTGGGTGGGTGGGTGGGCAGGCTGTGAGTCGTTCCCTGGAGACCAGAGCCCAAGGCAGCACTTCGGATGAGGGAGATATTCCAGTACTTTGGCTGGTGATGAGAGTGGGTGGGTAGTAGGCAGGGAGGGAGGGAGGAAAGGAAGGAAGGAATGATGGATGGATGGAAGAATGGAAGGAAAAGATGGAAGGAAGGAAGGAAGGAAGGAAAGATAAAAGATGCATGTATGATGGAAGGAAGGTTACAAGGAGGATAGATGGATGGAAGAA